TACTTTTAAATAATTTTAAGTGAATATTTTTACTTATAAGTAACTTTTTTATTATAAGTGAATTTTTGTCTTATTAGTTGTATTTTTATTTTATAACAACTTTTTTTTTATATAATAGTGATTTTTACTTATAAGTATTTTTTTAATTATAATATAATTTTTTAAGTGATAAATAATTGTTTAGTTAATATATTTTTATTTATAATTTAGTTTTGACCAAAATAGGTTGGTCGGAAATAATTATTTTATAAATGGTAAAATTAGAAAAGAATATGAGAAATGACCAAAATCCGTCAATTTAGTGGTTTGAAAGAACCACTCAAAATTACATTACATTGGCTTTGGGTGATTTTTAAACCATCTAAAATTGGTACCCATAAAAATTGACAAGCATCGATTTTTCCAACCCTCATAAACGGTGTCACCCAAAACCCGTGAAAAAAAAACTCCCAAACAGGAAGTTTTTTGAGAATTATTATCTTTCGGTTCCGTTGTCGCCATCTTCTTGCGTTTGGCAAAAGATTGCGTGAATTGGATCGATTTGTTTCTTGTTTAGGGGCTTTTAGTATTTTCTTTTCATTTTTAATGGAATGATCCCACTACTACAATTAGGCCACAGTAATTGAAATTAACATTTAAGAGTATAGAGTTTATTACAAATTCTCAAGAAAAAAAATGGCGTTTCTTATACTGAGAATGATGTTCCACCAAATGCAAGTACGGATCGTATATACTATATGTAGGGCTGAACAACGAAACTGCAAAATCATAAAATCAAATCGAAACCGCTTTTTTGAAACATTTGGTTTGGATTCACATGGATCCGTCAATATTTTGGTTTGGAATTGAATCAAACCGGTTTGAAGGGGGTTTTGTTTAGGTTTCAATTATTGCAAATCGTTTACACACAAAAAAAAAATGAAAATTAATTATTTTAAAATTTATCCAACCCAATTAAAAATATAAATCTATATAATACATAAACCAATTAAACTCAATTCCTAAATATACAATTATTCATCCTAAATAATTACTTAATAAATCATATAAAAATACACATAAGTCAAGTCATCACAAATGTGAATGCAAATCCTCAAATTGTTTGAATTATTGAAAAACTGCTATTGAATCATATTCATCGATCGTCCATTACAATTGAGAAGACAATTAAATCTAAATTTTAATTCAAATCCGCACATTTATTTTTCTTCTACTAATAATATTCTCGAATTCCATCTAAATTTTCTTATTTTTAGTAATTATTTGCTATATTTTATTGGCATTGTGCAGTTATGTTCTAATTTGTGTCGAGCTCATTTAAATTTTAGTCAAAAAACGTTTTTTGTTTATTTGCATCTCAACTTCCAAGTCAAGTCAAGTCATTCAATTAATTATTTACATTTTAACTTAATTTTTAGAATCTAGCAATTGGTTTGATGGATTACTTGAATAGCCGTTTTGAAAATTAGACCAATGAACATTTTGACACATTACTTTTGTGAAAATTGAATGCAAATGAATAATAAATTGTTCCTCTAAATTGCTAAAAATATGTTATCTATTCAAATATTTATAATTATTTTCGAATCTGCATTCCATACAGTGGTCGGATTATTGACTACATTAGGAGTTCGTTTAGTGCAAATATATTTTTGCATTATATATATATAATGATTTGAAAAATTGTTACAAACCGTATTAACACCCTAATGATATGTATTAGTATCCTACAACCAATTTTATACCCATAGGAAAAAAATATTACCAGTATAAAAGAAGGCTTCTATCCTTCATCAGTCTAAAAAAAAATTCATGTAAATATACTTCCAAAACGAAACTCCCATAGTTTTAGTATCAAAGTATAATCAATCACCACCATCCACTTCTAGTGATCACTATTTTGTAAATTCTGCCAAAGCATACATCTTTTTGCTGATGGGTCACCATGTTTTCACATTGAAAGATTTATGCTTAGAGAAGAGGTATTCACATTTTTAATACTTGTAGAAAGATTTTCTTTACAAAAATAATTTGTTCTAATTTTTACAAATTTGCACAATATTAAAAAACTAATACGTCAAATAGAATTTTTAAAGTATTGATGCAGAAAAGTGAAAATAAAGTTAGACTATTAAATTTAATAGAATCGCTCATCTTTTGAGATGTTTTTTTGATCTTGTAATTTAATGGTTTTTAATTCAAAATAGGTTTACTGGGGCAACGAATAATGATACTCGTACTTAATGAAGTTATATAATGATTTACATATAAATGAGATGTCAAAAAATGAGTAGATAAGTTTTTTTTTTTATTTGATTGAAGAAATTCTAATTCAATCATATCTCACTACATATGTATGTATAAGCCTCCGTTTGTTTCTCATTTTTCATTTATAAAAATGAAAAATATGACCGTTATCTATCACATCAAGTCATCAATTTTGAATTTCTATCTCTTGTATGGGGTCCAATAACGATTATATTTTTCATTCTCATTTTACAATAATGAGAATCAAACGAACCCTAAATCATTATGTAAAAAAAAATAAAAAAATAAAAAATAAATATATATAGAGTTGTGCTAGACGTACACCCAATCCATTATCTAACATTTCTCACATGGAGGGGGTCCACGAATATTTTATTGTGTATGGGCCCCTCCATGTGAGGAGAGTGTAATCCATTAATAGATTGTGTTCATTTAGGCTAATTCTTATAAAACTTGAAGTGCATTCCACTCCCTCTGCACCCGTCAATTTTGTCGTTAATCCAAATAAATAGGGCCAAAATGGAAATGTTGAATTAGGGTCAAATTATTTGGAATTTGCAATGAGAAAAAGATTGCCACTGGACCGGCAATTTTCCGGTTTTGATCGAACAGGGAGATCCCAAATACTCATAAACCCTAAACCTCCATTAAGTCTTTCTGCAGAACTGCAATGGAGGAAAAGAAATCAAAGCCTTCAATTGAAAACTCTAACCGCCAAATTCAGAAAGAAAAAGCAGCGTGTGAAGAGTGTAGTACAAGTGCCCAGGATGCTCCCTCCGTTCCTGCAGTCTCCTTTGTGTCAAAGCACACAAGCAGCGCAGTGGGTGTACCGGGAAAAGGCCAGTTACAAATTTCGTACCCCTCTCTCAATTCAACGATAATATCCTTTTATCAGCTCCCTTAGTTTTTGAAATCTATTTTAGGAAGCTATTTTGTTAATTTTAGGAATATAACGGGAGCTTTCCTTACTAATGGTGTTTCTATATTAATTGGATTTTATTGCTGCTGTATATTTCAAGCATGTTTAATATTTTTCTATATTGTGGACAATATCGCTTTGAGCCATGATACACTTCGTCTTTAGCTGAGGCCTTCTTATCTGTATGTATTTGATGAGTTGAATGTTCTGTATTTTATTCTTTCTAATGTACTAGCATTTTTACTACCGTATCATATGAATTTTCTGAATGGAGATTTTTCAGCCTATCTAAGTTTTGTGTGTGTTTAAATTCAATCACCAGCTAATGACTTTGGCTGATTAATAATTCAACTAGCGGTTCTTTTAAACTTTACCTCATTCTTGAGGTTACATATGTTTTCAAGATTATTATATTGTCTTAAAAGGACTTTTTTTTGTCCAGCAATGGTAACAGTTCTTGCTGTAGCATTTTGTAATTCGTTTCAGTCTTATTAGTTATTCCTTCTAGCAGTATCAAATTATAAATGTTTGAAGCGTTAGTCTGCTACCAGACTGGTAAAGTTACTTATGATTTTCAAGTTTGAAGTTTCTATCATCATATTGATACTTGACTATTTTTTTATAGTAGATTATAATATGCTCGAGGACATGAAGAGAGTTTCTGAACCTGCTCAGAGGACAAGACTTAAGTTATGTGGCAAATCTAATTTTAAGCTCCCGTTTCCGCTTAAAAGTCTGCGGAGTGCTGCTGCAAGCCGTGGGACTAAACTTCTGTTTCTTACAAATGGGATGTCAAAGAGAGAGATGAATCGAACTTATTACGACAAAAGGTGATTGTCTTATATGATTCTGCTCTTCTTGATGATTAGAGATTGAGATGGATCATCAACCGAGTACATCTATTTAAAACAGTTTGATGCTAAATGTTTGATTGGTGTCCTCAAATTTCAATAATGACCAAATTGAAAATTAATGGTCAAGGGAGGCAGTTTTGACTTTTTGACACACAATAAGCAGAAAGGTTACTTTCATTCGCACTCAATTTAATTTTGTAATTAAAATTAGACAGGGAAAAGTAACATATTTTTTCCTTAGAGAAGTCTAAACTGTCAGATTGAAAGAAACCTAAAAACAATATCAAATTACATAATATTAACTTTTAATGTTTCTCTTCTGAAAATCAAAATTGGAAGTCATAAAATAAGAAAGAGCCCAAATTTCGAATTATTGTTTAAAAACTTTCCTTCTATTTATAAATTGAAAATAAAACTGTGTATGTTATTATTATTATTTTTTATGATTAATCCGGAGCCGAATTGAAGATGCAATGTGCTCGCATGTTTGCATGGTCTCTTATCTTTATTCATGGACGCTTGTGTGTCCTGAATCTTACTATGCAGAAGTGTAAATGGAGTATGAAACTAAAACTATACCATGGGACAAGGGAATATGAGAGCATTAACTTAAAACTCATGGAGTAACTGAAAATTACCATATTTAGGCAATAATGCTTTTGGTCAGAGTAGTATTCTTTTTTATCCAAATTACTTGCACGTTGATATGTTACTCCTTTCATTGTATTTACTGCAGTTGGATAGTTTTACAATAAATATATTCTGTTTCGATAACACTCAGATCTTGACTTCGTAATGGTAAGGTTTTTCATTATTTTTTGTTAATTTTGTTCTTAAGCATTTGCACTTCATCTGAATTCAGTTTTATATGTTGTCTACTTATTTATTTTTATTTGTTTATTTATTTATTTTTTCCAGGAAGAAATTTGTATCGTGGACCATTGAGTGGCAGTTCCATTCAACTGATGTTGTAGTAGTTGACCACGGGTAAGTTTCTTCACAAATTCAATTGTTTGTACTCTCCCTTTCTAGTAGAAGAAGCATTAATTGAAGGAATCATCAACCCACTTTCTAGAATCAACTAGGAACCTTAAAAGATACTAGGAAATCTTATTAATTATGAAAATAATGATGAGTAATTTCAGGTACCGATAAGCCTCCGTTATGGATAGGAGAAAACTTTATAAACAACATATTACCTTCTAAAACTTTATAGCCTAATAACCTAACCAGTTGAGCTAAAAAATCTAAAAGCTTTCTCAAGCTATGTTGCAAACAATAAATTAATAAAGTAGTAATGTCATACCAACTTCAGTTGTTGAGGGGGATCATGCTTCAGTTGCAGGAATAGAAAGCTAGAGCTCATATGGGCTCCTCATTTGTTGTCTGCTCTTAATCTCCTATCTTTTCTTTTAAATTTTTATTGGTGGGTTGTGTTCAAAAGTACCTAAGAAATCCCTTAAAATCGTGGAGACTTTAAAAAAAGCTCGCCCTAAAAGCTGAGACTCGTAAAAGAAGACCCAAAAAAACTAAGACTCCCCTTAGTGGCCCTGAAGCTTATGCATTGAGGTGCGTGCCTCACTAAGCCATGTCATGAGCCTTGGCAAAGGTTAATCAAAGTTAATCTTTGAGTCTCCTAATAGATGCCTCACAGGGTTCGCCTTGAGGCATAAGTCCCGGAAGCATATCAAACACTACTTCCATGAACAAGGTAGTAGATATCCCTTCATTGTTTTGGCTCTCTAAGAAAGGATTAAACATCATCCAAAAATCATCAAGACCAACGAAATCAAAATGTTTGCCCAAATTCAAGTTGACTCCAATTGAGTAATTCTTCAAATTGAGTGGTAGATTTTTTCTTTGCAACAATATGATATCAAATACCTTTTTGGCAGCCATTTCTTGCTCTTCAGATAGTAATTCAACTTGATACTTGCAAAATCTTCACAATCTCAATAACAATTTTTGCGTCTTCTAGGACATTTTCTACTTACCGTGACACTTCAATATAACAAGAAGCAATTTTCTAACTATCGTGTTGCAGAGTACAAAAGACAAATCTCTGATCTGTGATTGAAAATCATCTAAAAGATGGTCCATGGAAATCACCTGTTGTCAATTTTGAGACGCCCCAACCCTGGATTCTACAAAAATTTTCATCCGCAAATATCCAAAGGTTTTTGCATGATGTTTAATCCAGGTAGTTTATTAATTAGATTACTAGAAATTTGAAACCCATTAGTTTCAACTTACTTTTTATTTTATATGATTTTCCTATCGAGCTTTAGCTAATCTGCGCAAACTAGTGTATGACCTAACTTGAAGTGTTTCCACCTTGACCTTTCTATGCTCCAAGCAATTTTGAAACATGAAAATATACTTTTATATCCCTTGAATTTCAGTAGAAATTTCAGGTTAATCCAACTTTATTAAGTGGTCCAAAAGAATTTATTTCAAAAGTTGTCACTAGTTGTCTAGTTTTAAGAAAACCCTAGTTTTTGTTTTTGATAATTTATTTGTTATGACTATCCTTTATGAACTTCAGAGTGCAGTTGGCAATGGACTTCAACTATTGAATTTGGAATATTATCTGGCTCCGAACACTTCTTTATTTTCTGATGTTTTAGCTTTGTTAGAGGAGGCAGAGTGTGACACATGTTGCCATATTCCTAATATGGTTGGTGGCCACAACCTTGCCTCTTTCGCTGCTTTTTCCCTGGTGAATGTTCAATGGACTGATTATGTACCTTTCTTTATTTCGTCATATGTTGCTACTTGCAAAATCTTTGGAAGCTCAATAGCAAATTTTGCATTATATTACCTGAAATTTTCTACTTGCTGTGACACTTCAATATAACAAGAAGCAATTTTCTAACCATTGTGTTGCAGAGTACATGAAAATACATATCTCTGCTCCGTGATTGAAAATCATCTAAAAGATGGTCCATGGAATCACCGGTTGAGACAATTTTGTAATGAGTCTCTTGATTCTCTCAAATTTTTCATCCGCAAATATCCAAAGGTTTTTCTCTTTTACATTTTATATTTTTTATTCCATGTCTGAAGGTCAGTCCAATGTTATGATATAAAATGTACTTTTCACTTATCCTGATGAAGCCATGACTGTAGCATGATACCACATTTAGATTTGGCATTTTGGTCTCTAAACTTGTTACTTTTACTGCAGGGGCGCAGATCACCTTATCGCAAGTTAAACATTAAGGCACCAATACTTGAGCAATTAGCAAATTTAGTGATCTTGGAGTACCCTGTTATCCACGTTTTTCTACCTTCACACACTGTGATTTCGAAGTCATCAACGACGTGATTCCTAATAATGTTGAGCTTAAAAAGACAGTCGACGCTGATTATCCAAGTCCCAAAGGTGTGACTTTCAGGGAGGAAGAATTTGAAGATGGTGGCTCCTCGAATCCTCTCATTTCAGATCTTACGAACCATTCAAATCAAAATATGGTAGCTCAAACAGAATTCAAAGAGTCGATATTTAGCCCATTGGTGGTAAGAGGTGATGAGCAAGACAAATCAGTATTAACCAGTGGTGGAAGTGTTTGGAAAGAAGAAGAATACTATATAGGCAAGGATTTGGGTATTCCTGAGGAGGACATGAACTTTGATTGGTCGACGTATATTCAGATCTTATCAAGGGAACTAATCCGGATGACTTCCTTATGGAGGAAGAGCTAGAGGAAGGAGAGATTGCATAAAGAATGCTTTATGCTGTTTAAAGGGAAAAAAGTTGGACATTTAAATTAAATTTTGGTGGGAGATAAATTTGGTCCCCTGTATTGTAATGAATTGGAAAAATTACAATTGTAATTAATGTAAAATTTTTGGTCTTTGTTTGGAGCCCATTTTTCCTAGCTATATTGTTATATTACAATTGAGGTAAATCTCTACCTAAATGTTCTCTAAAATGACAACTTTTCAGCAGCAGCAAGGTCAATCGAGGTGTGGGTCGTGCTACAATATGACCAAATCTAGGAAACGAAGTAACACAGAATATAGAAGTAAAATGAATGTATTGTCTCGAGTTCTCTCTTTCTTTCCTTTCGTCTTAAGTAGCTCACCAAATAGGTTTGTTCAGCAAACGCACAAAGTGGATCGCAGTTTGGCCGACCCTCTTCCCATTCGGTTTCTATGCTTTCTTCTTATCCCCAAGGAGTTCACCAAGTATAGGCTCAGGAAGCAAGCAGAAAAAAGTCGATAACTTCATCGCTCTTACTCCCTGTGGATATTTATTTCTTTGCAAAGTCCGTAACTAGTCATCCATAATATCAAATAAATTATTTTCGCCTTTGGAAAATTCCTTATTTCGAACACTATTTTCAAAATTTTAATACCACATTGAATAATGTGATAAAAAAAAAAAAAAAATTGGACAAAACCCACCCCCATATGACAAAAAGGGTATTAAACGAAGGCAGACAAAATGGATCAATATTATTGAGAGAAAAGCGATAAAATTGCACATGGGATGGGGACAATACTCACATGAATCAAACATGGGACTTCTTTTGTATTGCTTCCTCAATGTATAACATGTCCCATGTGTACTCATCTAATCATACTCTCTCTCATCTTTTGAGCTCATCACTAGTCATGTATAAAGACAATAAATCAGGTTGTATTTGTGTCAAATTTAGAGTCGGGTATATAAATTTATTTACTATTGGATATACTTAAAAATTCAGTGCAGTATCTCACTAAAAATTTGTGCATTACGGATATAGCATTCTATTTTTATTGGATAATAGACAGACATAAACTATATAATAAATAAATATTAAATATTTTTTTAAAAAACTTTTAAACGGGAAAAAAATTATTAAGGATAAATCAGATATCGTTTAAATGTCAAAATATAGACTAACATACAGTCCTAAAATGTGGCGTCTATGTGCTGCCTAGGCGCGCCTTTTATATTTTTCTTCCTTTAATTATTAAATAATTTTTAGATTAATTTAAAATTTTAAAATAATATTAAAATTAAAAAAAAAAGATTTTTACGATTTTTTTACATCTAGATCTCGCTTAGGTTAAAAGCTTAGCCTCCCCGCTTCATCAAATTTTACGTTTTTTAGAACAATACTAACATATAAAGACTTGTGCTATCATTCTTAACAATGTTGATTTTTTAAAATTGAACTTTAAAGTCTTAATATGATATCGAGCCTACTAAGCTTACATAAGCAATTTGATTCGATTAAAATTCAAACGAGCACATGAATTATAAGATTTATATGCTCAAACGAGTCACCATCATGTTGTGAACATATTAAGGGATAAATCTTGCATCAGTTAAATATCGAAATATAGACCAACATATAACGACTTGCCACTCTTTTTAGCAAGATTGACATTTTAAAATTGAACATTAATAGAATTAACTGAACTCCTATCAAAATTATAAAAATAATTGACAACAAAAGCAGAAAAGAACTAAAACTGTCTTTTAAATGACCCACAAATGAATTTTTATTGGTTTTATAGGTTTTCTCATCCTCATTGGGCACTCACTCAATCATTAGGTACAATGTCACTCATGTTTAAGTGGATAGGGCACGTGAATTAACGTATGGTGACAAGTCACATGCAATATTAAGGAATGAACAGCCATGCCCAAATAATAAAAGTACGTGATGGGCCATTCTTTGTTTGTGAACGAAACAATTATTTTCGACACATTGATGTGTTAATCAACAAAAGAGACAATTAGTTTGTGATGTACCTCAACATCTACGTTTCTTTGTAAGTTTACTTTTATGGAGGTCGGGCCGAATCCCATTGAAAGCAAAAGTGAAACCATCTTGTGTGGCCTTACGAATTTTACCACCTCTTTAGTGTAAATTTGTAGTTATTTTTTAGGGAAAATTAGGTGTTGTGTATCCTATTAAAATAAGTTTTTTTGATTAATACCTTTTAAACTAATTAAACGTTTTAATCAAGTAATAATTACGTCATCATCTAAACTATTAACTAAAACTCTTCATCTCCCCC